TGAACAAACATGCGATTCATGTTGCACAGCGCATGGCACATGGCAAATGGGGAGCCGATTCTTGGCAAAAAGAAATCCACACTGATTAAAAATCCTGGCACGAATCGCTAGTGCGATGGCTGATTCCCAGCGTATCGCTCAATACCCTACGTCGACCACTGAATTGTATGCTGTCGTCCCGGCCTTTGGAATTTCGCCAGAGAAGAACGTGAGGCAGAAATTGGAAATTAAACAATGTTTTCGTTTCTTACGGCTTTTATATTATAGCTGAGCGTTGGATCTGGGGGATTAAAAAGTGTCTACTGCATGTAAAATTCGTTTTGATAAGGAAATAAGAGGTGTCTATTAAATCCGAAGATACTTTGTACTTCCGGTGTTCAGGGCCACATACTAGAGCGGGATCATCTGTTATCGAAACGGCCACAATTTGAGCGCAGACCCTAGTTCAAGATTGTTCATCGATTTCGAAGTTATCATTCAAACTAGGACAAGCCCTTAACTTGAGTTCGGCATCAAATTGAGCTTTTCCATCTGATTGTTTTGTATACTTTTTTGTCAAGCTTGAAGGGCTCAGTCCACCAGGACGTTCGACTATGGAAAATAATTTAAGCTTATAATGAAAAATGCAAATACGTATTTTTTAGGTGAAATCAAGTTTTTTGCAGCAGGTTCAGTAAATGTTGAAATTGCCCTATTGCCTACGCCACTATTCCCCTGTTCTGCATTTTAATGGGAGAAAAAGTAGTTACCATGAACAAGTGCTGCAGAAGGGACATGAAGTGTGGAAGAGCCGGTGAACTCCTCAGTTTCGAATGAAGTGCTTCGGCAATATCGCTGGCACTCTCAAAGTTCACTGGCGATGAAGCACCCGAATCCTCAGAGTTACCTCTGAAAGAAATACTAAAAAATAGCGGACTCTCGAACTACATATTACGGAAAGCGTGAGAGCAATAGGTGTGAGGTGAGAGGAATCGCACAACTCAGAGCGAAATGATAAATTACCCAGAAAGAACGATTTCATCCTCCTTCCGCATCATCTCGAAAAGATCCAGATGATCCTGGAGCCGGTTCGAAGCCTGCGGGCGTATCAGAGTGGCCGCCCGAGCCATGCCGAGCATGAGGAACTCGCAACGTAGATGCACTCTGAACTCGAGCGAGGACTGAAAGGAAACAAATAGCTCGCAAAGACAATCGCGTAGTAGCTTGCAGTTCTCATTTTCACCACTCTACAGATAGAGAAGAAGAATGCGAAAGTGCTATCGAAAAAAACACTCAAGGGAAAGTTCGCCTATAGAGGGGTCCTTCAAAAGTTAATGGGACCGCCGTCAGAAGGCTGTCATGCCTTCGAAGGCGGAAGAAATGGAAATGACGGCGTGAGAGCCCCGCGACAGATCTGTCATTCAAGTTAAATCGATCGACCATGGGGACAGAAAATGTGATTGGAACAACTTTTTCCAGGCTCAAAGTCAAGCAGATCGCTCTCGCAGCTAAGTCATTATTTAGCGTCATAAAGCATACAGTTCCTACAGTTCAATGTAAGGAAAGAGCTAGATTGTGGCTTGGGATGGGCTCCAGGGACGTTCCAAGACCATGTTTCAGATAGGAATGCACACTCGAACGCTCCAGCTAATCAGAAAAAAACCTTTCAGAACACAAAGGTGCGCCATCGCGGAGGCGTAGTCATCGCAGCCCGGAAATAATCTCGTGAAGATCGTACATCGAATGATTTTGGACCAAAACTAAGGGAATGTACGTTTCATTTGGAAAAAATCAAAGTCACGGAGTCTTTCTTGACAACCAAAGGGGAACGAATGTCAGAGAGGCGCGAGGGACCAAAAAACAGGTGTTACGAAATTTTTGCCAATATCTGGATTTTGTAGAAAAGGGTTTAAACAGTAGGGACATGGAAAAGTTGTATACCGCTGGTCTAGAGGATATAAAATTCTGATAACTGTGAGAGTGGCCAATTAAAGTTAAATTATATAGGAACCAGTACGGCTCAAGCTTCCCGCGGCGTTTCCTCCTGCTGATTCAACACCTGTGTTGAAAGAACCATCATTTTTGCTTTCGTCACCACTGCGTTTGAGGACATCTAATCAGTGTAAACCTTCTATCTGATCTTAACAATGGATTCTGTGCCCTCTCCCTTTTTAAGGAGAAAAAACCAATCTCAACAGGAACCCTGGACATTAAGCCTAGAGCAAGAGAAATGTAGGACGAGCTCTTTATTAAGGGTGTGATATTTAGAGGTGAACACGACCTTACCTCTGCATGCCCGGTCCGAAGCAAAGCGTTGATCAGACCGAGAATAGCTATCCGAGTTCGATCAGTTTCCTTTTCTGATGATTGACTAAAAATGACTTTCATCGTTTTCTGAGTAAAACAAAATCATAATAAGAAAAGTGGCAAGAATTTTGAAAAAATAGTATCTAGTTAATTTGTCCTAGACCTGCTTTTCGAAAATTTCCGCTTTCCGTCCATGTCTATCTAGTGTCTGCAGAAATCGAGTAAAAGCTGATAGCATCGATAAAAGATACTCAGAAAAACATGGTCCATATCCCTCTCAATTACTTTTTTCGATGGTTATCATCCTTTAAGGGTCACTTGAAGTACTCACTCAGGTCACTCAAAAGCTTCAATGCTCTCGAGGTTCTACCTAATGAGTTTGCCCGTGAGTATTCATGAACACCTATGAGCAGTGCCACTACGTTACATTGCAATACCAGAAACGTTAGCACCCAATCTTACCTTCTGTGCAGTTCGCTGACGAGAGTCTGGAAGCGGGTCCTTTCGCCGAACACTGACGACACCTGTTGGGATGAATAGCATCAAATAGGTGTTATGATGAAGACATCCTCCATGACTACAAAATACCTGTGTGAGGGCTTTGAGTACTTTACAGTGACCGTCTTCTGGCACAAAACAGAGACCGGAGAGGATTTCCACGGCGACTATCTGAAGGACCAATTTCGGCTTTTTGATGACTTGATCCATTACAGAGTCAAGCACATGAGAATGAAGGTTAGCACAAATTATGCATGGAGGATGGTTCAATTTCATGAAATACAGCAATGAAATCAAGAAACTTCACGGAAGTGAACGTAATCCAAACTGGGGACACATTTGCTAAGCGATTTTGAAAGCTGTAAAGAACTTGATGGGAGGCTCGTTTGCGGTGGCGTGCATGTTTGAAATTCCATCTCCTGCTCCCGTAGGTGAAAGTGAATGTTCCGGTTATTAAAAAGCTGCGAGCCCCTTAGGACGAGCTGCGTAGTTGCAAACTGACTCGTACTTTTGGATACCTCTAAAAGAGTCAAAAACACCTTCAAAATGCTACACCTACGTCTCTGCGGCACAGGAGTATTTAGTATGCTAGAAGAGCTCGAGCAGCCAGGCTGTTGCATGTATGTTGTACTCTAAAAATCTGGCAATGAGACCAACCTTGCACTTGGAATCGCGTAGCTCTATTGCTCTAGCTATCGCTAAGAGAGCTTCGTCGTCCTGTAGCACCGCAATACGTCCTTTCTGCAAAGAATGTAGATGTAAAAGTTTGAAACCCTTTGGTTCCCAGGAAAGACCTGGGATAGTAGTGCGGGCAACACATCTGTACAGGCGCTTTCGTTCAAAGCTCAAACATATGGCTCACCTTACAAACACAATTTCAGATGATCTCAACGAATTTCCCGCGAATTCAGTGGAAAAACTTATTCAGATGTAAATGAGTAAGCTACTTACAAACAACGCTTTTCAAAAAAACCCTGTCATTATTACAAACTCTATAGGTTGATATCATGCAGATAAATGCTCCGCAATACAGCAAATAGCCGGTTCCATGTCACAGTATTGCTCCAGGGTTTATCGCAATTTCACGTTGTGGTCCACACTGTCATCATCCAAGGAATGTAACAAGCGACACCTAACCGTTGCGTCGCATGCTCTCGCACTATCGCGTGAGTGACATCCACGATGTCCTGGAGCACCTTATTCCGAGAAAAGACAAGATAGAATTCTCAGTACAGTACTGTAGCATTGACTTGAAGTTGTAGACATCCGGTTTTGAATATTTCTTAATAAGTACTGGTACCTTTGCTCTCGTTCACTTGATGCGCTTTGGCGAATCCCTTGCTTTCCCTTCGCTCCCTGTGATGCATCAACTTTCGCGAGCCTTCAGGAGGCGAAAAAAGGTGGGTTTTCTTTTTTTAGACTTCATCGGAACTGAAGTCGAGTTAATCGGTGTTCCTATGAAGTCTCGACCATCTCGACAGATTTAAAGTCAAAATTATTGTTTTTGACTCGTAGGAGTGTATTCAAACCCATGAGGCTGTGGTTTGTAGTCGTGTAGTGATAGGTCGAAAAACTTGAAAAATAGTTTTGTCTATCATGTTTCTAATCTCATCTCAACCTCATCCCTTCCTTTCCTTCATAGCAGAAAAAAATCTAGGACGGAACCATAAGTTCGTTTTTTACTTTTGTGAGTAGCTCGGCTTCCTCCTTTCACCATGACCACATCCTCCGCAACCCTTCGCTATCATGAAGGTTTTTCTTAACCCTTTCCTCACTGGTGACGAAATAAAAGATTAGATAATTTCAAGACGGGAGAGAGCAGAAATACAGCGAAATCAAATGTTTATAAAACATGGGACATGTTTTTCAGTAATTTGACCTTCGACGCGCGAAGTGATGCAGAAAAATTTGAAGCATTCAGTGACCACGATGACCAAACCACCGAACAGACGCGTCGAGATCACACTGCTCTTTACTGTCGTTGGTAATGCTTGTTTTACAATGCTCGGGACGGAACCGGACTATAGTTCAAAATAAAAGACACTTTTCCTCCTGTATTGAAGTCCAAGAACCATCGAGTTTTATTCGTTTAATAACTTCGGGAAAAGCTCTTGAGCTGCCGCACATGGGCAGGAAGCTAACTTTGTTCACGTTCTGTTCACGTCTTATCTATTTGATGGCCGGATGGCTTGGTTGAGTAAATATTTCTTTCAGAGACTTGTAGTGATTAGAAACTGAAACAGGTTCTAGTTTTAAAAAAGCAAAAGAGGAAATATGAACTTCCCTACGATACTTCGATACTTGTGGATATCAATAATTATTTCCGTTGGTAATGGTTGATTCTCAATGCTCGGGACAGAACCGGATTAAGCAAGGGAAAGCCGGCCCAGGAAGTTAACCTGTAATGGAGCTCCCCGTGACCTGGGGCCGGCTATGCAGGTAAAGCGCTGGGGAGAGGGAACCAGTGAGGTACATCATCACATGCCACAGGAAAAGTGAAGTACGACTATAATCAACTTTCTCTTAGCCTTAGCATGGACTCTGACTCGTGCTTTTACTGAAAAGAGTCTTTTCGAGTTCCCAAAATCTAATGGAGCTGACGTTGAACCTGTTCTCCTTCCTCAGAGCATGAAAGTCAAAAATAAATCGAGACTGATCGTCATGTAAGACCGAACAATCCAACACACTACTGAAGACAAAAAACACTTTTGGACCTGATGTCGCTTGAGAGTTCTTGAGCAGTAGCAGAGCTACGGCGACGAATGTAAGATCAAAGTCAGCTATACTACGTAGCGCTTTCGTATGTGCTGATCGGCCCTAGGAGAATCTTCTAGTCTAGAATACTTAAAGGCACAGCTCACGATAATTCTGAGGTACCCTTTCTAGGTAGGAAAGCGGAAGTGTTGATGTAGAGGAGTACATCGGTGGCGAGGAAATGGAGAAAATCCGCCTATTTAAAGGCTTATTGAAAGTAGTGGAAGTGGAGGTTGTACGAGATCACCGAGACGGTAATGGCGCACAAGGAATGTTTGGACGAGATTTAACTTGCTACCATATCTCAAAGAGATGACTTCATAAAGCCGAGGTTGTCCGAAACTGCCTTTAACTGTCGCCATTGGTTATGACAAGTTGTTTAAATTTCTTACATGAGAGTCTCTTGAGAGAGTGCAGCCCCTACATAGCCGTTGAAACTCGTCACGATGGGTGCGGCATTCACGTGGTACAATCTCTGGATCCTTACTGTGGCCTATCCATGACGTTTTTCCACCTTATAACGGCAGCTATGATATAAGGAGGAGCCTCGAATTCATACTATAGGGGAATCTCAGAACCATTTTTATCGTGGATTCCTTTTTTATCGTCCCTTTGAGGATTGTATTACCTTATTTTTTGCAATGTTGACGAGACTGGAACTTGACCATTGAGCTGCATGAACGCCCATAGGGAAACCTTACAAGGCTATTTTTAACGCACGACAGCGATATGGGTGACGAGTTTCATGGCTTTTTTGATTATTCTGCGTCCCTTTCCCTTTATCTGAAGTTCCGTACCCGACTTCCCTGAGGGTAACGTAAATAATTTCACGTGAGCTCACTCTGTTTGTTTGTTGTTTTGGTGTGACGTTCACGTTTACATTGAACAGTGTAGAAATCTGTTCGCGCCTGCACGAATATTAAATAAATAAACAAGGCATACACTTAACAGGTTATGGGGCCATCAAGTGTAAGAGTGACTAGCGTATTCGGCCGATAGCCATCATTTCCAAATAGAATTAAGGACAGGATAGAGAACTGTTTGGGTACTAATTTTTCCTGTATCTGAGGAACTGCGGCTAAATTGGTCTCGGGCTGCAGGGTGGAAGGAGGAAAGGGGACGGTTCTCATCAGTACATCTGAAAGCGATTGACGAAAGCTATGCAAACATTTGGGTGAATGAAAGCGAATAGGGTGGTGAAGCTTCCCCGGTCTTTAGCTTTCACCTATGATCCCTCAGGATAGCCTGGGGAAGCGGTGTCGGGTCGAAAAAGATGTCAAGATAGGGCGTAATAAGGGCCCCCAAAACCGGCTCGGCCAGAGTACACATCCAAGGCGGAAGAGTTGTTAAGCGTTGTAAATGAAGTAGAGGTTGCACCGTTCGCACCGGGACCAACACCTTGCACGCAAATTATTGCAGCCCCGTAATATTCTCGCCCAAATCCTAACTTTACATCTTTTTTGAAGCTATACATCTCTCCAGATACGCCGATTTTCGCGCTTTCTTTGTCACTTTGCACTATTTTGGACCATCACCTCCATTACTCTTCTAAAACTAGACAACCCAAAATGATCGTGAACTGTGCCTTAACAATCAGCAGTGTACAGAGGTCCCTGAAATCCATGTCACTATGTTTTCTCTACCTAACAACTACTAAGTTGAAGGCACGGCTCACGATGATTTTGGGGCACCCTTCCTCGAGTTGAAGAGTGAAAGTGTGGTAGAGAGCAGCACATCAGTGACGAAGAAGGCGAAAGCAGAATGCACAAAACACAAAGCGTATTGACAGAGATGCAAAGAGGGTTTGGTACGAGATTGCCATGACGGAAGCGTTACTGGAGAGGTATTGGACGAGCTTCAGAGTTTGTCAGAGCGAACAAAAAATGACAAAAATTGCCTTCTACCATTGTCCATAGGTCACGATTAAATGATTCAGTTTTTAACATGCGAGCTAACTGTAAATGGTCAGTCTCTGAAACAATGTTGAAACTCGTCCACATTCGGGCGTAGAGGCCAGTAAAATCGGTTTTTGAGCTATGACTTAGCCCAATCTAGATCGCTTTTCGACCTGACAGCGTCCCATAAGGCATACTTGGACGCCACAGGTTCGCTCTAGTTGGAAATCCCAGAAACTATTTTATCGTGAGCTGTGCTCCTAAGAGACCATCTCGTGAAAACTTTGATGGTCCAAATGGAATCTGACTGTAGGGTGCTCTGCGCTAAAGTCATCCAAGTAGGAAACAGAATCCAGAAGATTCCGCTGGCGGAGACGGGCGTGTCCCAGCTGGCACCACAACTACATGCATGCTAGGAGTTAGTAACAGTTCGGGAGATTAAAAGCATGTCTTGTACATCAACCAGGCCTGTCAGTTCAATGTGTATGCCAAAAGAGCTTCTAATACTTCTCCTAATTGCCGTCAAATGTGATTTGCCACATTGATGTGACTCTAGGCACAGAATTCCCTACAGAATAACTACGTCCTTTCTGCCCCATCAGCGAGTATGGTTCTCTAGGCCATGAT